GGAAAACATGGAGCCCCCCCCCTAAAAAAAATTCCATGAGCCTGAAGTGCGAGAAAAGGAACTTAGCATAGACATTACGGTTTGATCTAACCAACTCAACTGGTAATTGATGAGATCTCGACGCCATTTGAGTACTGTGTTTAAATTCATAAAATCTAGGTATCATAGCGAAGAGCTCCTCCTTACAATTACCATGAAAGTATTTGTAGAAAAGGCCCAGGGAGGCAACTTTACGGCAGTGGGAAAGTGACTGAAGCCGAAACGCCATATCAGGACTGATAATATTGCTGATTCTGCTTTTGATATTATCAAAGATCTCTAGATATATAAGAGCACAGGACCATATGTGGCAGCAATAATCGAAACATAGATGAATGGCAGACTTATAGATATGCAAGATAGATTCAAAGTCTATTATGGCATATCAAAAAATATACGGTGTTTCCCAATTTTTGAAGCAAAATAATCGGGGACAAATCAAATGATAGAATAATGGAAATTATATTTATTGAAAGGTAAAAGAGTTAAATTTTAAAATTTTCAACCGTTTAGCTTCAAACATGAACCAAAAATGTCAAGAGGAGCCCTAGGGTACATGCTCCAGATGTTGTCCGTTTAGTTGAAGGCACTGTTGAAGGCAAAGTTGTTGACAACGCATGCGCATTCCTCTTAGGTGATCGCTTGAATCTTCTCAATGATAGCTGAATTTAATGGTACGAGGGTTGCCCTGGTAGATGTTATCCTTGAGGAAACCCCAGAGGAAGAAATTTGGGGGTTCAGGTCAGAAGTGTGAGGTGCCTATTCCATTTCAAAGATGAAGAAGAGACATGAAATAGCAGAAATGTGGTTCTACAGAAAGATGCCGTGAGCAACGACTAGGTTTTAAAGAAAATGGAAACAAAAATTAAACTTATACTTAACGTCAGGCAATTGGTGTTTCTGCGGCACGTAATGAGGATGGAAGGCTTGGAAAATCTGATACACACAGGATAGATTTAAGGAAAGAAGGACAGAGGAAAGTAGCAGTTGATGGGATTGATGGCAGAACATGGTTTGGGGAAATAACAAAAAAAATCTAAAAGAATTCTAAAGACCTACGAGGGGCAGGAAGATGTGAAGGGCCATGATCGTCTATGTCCTGTAGGCACACGGCAAAGAAGGATCTTTTTTATGGGTACGATGTTTAAACTTTGTCGTGTAAAGGCATGAAAGTAACGAAGCCTATCGCCTTTGAGTAAACATCAGAAATCAGGCCCTATAAGTTAACATATTGTGAAGGCAGATCTACAGTTGATGAAAGTGACAACATTGTTAAAAGTAAATATTAGTACCTTCATAAAAGTAGTTAACACCAACCTGAATTAGAAGACGATACACTTCAGTTAGATTAATTTAATATTAACTATACTATTCTAAAGTTTTTATGACACTGATTTTTAGATTATATTATGAAGGTAAGTACTGTTTATTCGCTGTCAAGTTTGACGTCAGAAATAAATTACTTATACAGGCTTCTTTGCAATTTTAATTACTCATGTGCAAATACTTTCACAGGGAGTTCTTAAACACCAGTGGAAGGAGAGGAGGTATCTGAAAGATAGTTTTACTTATCTAAAAATATTTACAAACGACAGCTTATATTTATAAATATCCATTTCCGATATGCATATTCATTAAATTCGAATAAATTTAAATATGATTCGACCAGATTTTTAAACGAATCAGTTATAGATTAAATTAAGTAATAAATAAATTAAAATATGCAACTACAATTGAAAATAAATAAATATCAATTACAATTAAATTTAAATATCAATTCGAGTAAAACCTTTAAAGAAACAATTCTTAATAAAATGTTTTGGGTCGATTTCGGTTTTTTTTATTTTGTTTTATTTTTTTTTCAAAATTGGAATTGATAACGTTTAATTAAACTTTAACATAAAGGGCAAGGTAAATTGCTCAGCAAGCGTTACTGACGTTTAGACAGGGGATATTATTATATTTTTATTATTTTATTTTTTACGAATGTTCACCCAAGTTGCCAAGAGCCACTCGAGCTAGAGGGTCACTGTGTGGAGTTATATTAGCGTAAGCAAACTACAGAAAGAACCGGAAACCCATTCCTAAACCGGAAACAAGTGATAAAACGCTACACGAATAAAACCTCAAAAATGGACCTTTTTTTCAAGTTACATTCAGAAAGGTAAACAAAGTAAATACTAAACTATATACTATACTATACGTTGAAAAGTTGGACGGACATTGCTTCTTAAATAAAGACGATTGTTCTATTTCTGTTGGGTACTTCAGGATTTTAGCGGTCTGCTTTGTTTACAATAAAAATTCATAATAAATCCATATCCCGGGAAATAGCCGACCACTGAAATTGGTTTCTATCACCGCCACGGTTACCTATTCCAGATATTTCACAAATATCACTCCCTAGTATCCCATAAAATCCGAATTTATATAAAAAATAAACATATGAAGAGGCTTTTTTAAAGTATTAAAATGTACCTAAACAACGTAAATCATAAACGATAGGTACATCCACGGACTTTCTTTTTTTTATTATGTTTTTTTTACTGATATTCACCCAATACAGGGCCCAAGAGCCAGTTAAGGTAGATGGTTACTGTGTGGAATTATATTACCTTAAGAAAGAACAAGCATTAGGAATATAGACCTGAAGCAGACTTTAGAAGACCTTTAGAAGGAACCGACAACCCAATTCAAAAGAGGAAATAAAGGATAAACCTATACTCCTGTTCATAATACCGGGAAAGGGTATAAACCGAACGATGGCCGAACCTATCTACTGTTAAAACTCGAGCTCTTCGGGAAGAAGAATCTCGTATTAATGCGCAGCTTGCCACAGGCAGAGATAACGAAAAATTGGTGACATATTATTTTGTCCTAACTAGTATCACCATTGTAGCTACAGTTACGATGTTTCAACTGTAAATTATAAAAAAAAATATGTGAACCAACGATAATGAAATACTTATTATTTACCATTTTGTAAAGTTCGAACCGGTTGACAAATGAGAAATAATAAATATTTATAAATTGGTAATAATAAATATCGCAGTGTATTTGGCCCAGATATTTTTAAAATTTTATAGATAAACATTGGCACGAGAATATCGTTACTTATTACTAAGCATTTTAGTTAGAACCGGTTGACAAATGAGAAATAATAAATCTTTATAAAGTGGTAATAATAGATATCGCATTGTATTTGGCCCACATATTTTTATAATTTTATAGATAAACATTGCCGAGTGAATATCGGTATTAATAAAATAGCAGTGTCAACGGAAAAACAAAATCTTTTCAAAACACCGTTTTTTGTGTTGGATGGGGGCACAAAGTTTTAATATTGCCAAAAATCTCATCCTCAAGGTCCATCGATTTCTCCAACATTGAATCTTTTTCAGTCAAGATTTGGTACCCTTAGGTTACTGTATCCCCCCAAAGGGGAAATAACCTCGTTAAAACATCATAGACAAGGTCACGATAAAAGGTTGCGATAAAAGAGACAAGGTAGTAGATGAAGATTGCAGAAATAGGATTTTGAAAGTTGCTTTGGAAAGTGGAAGAGACGCTGGGACAAAAATCAGAAATGGCATTCTTCGTTATTCTTCTTTCTTTTCTTTTTTTTTTTTTTCCACTAATGTTTACCCAATACAAGGTCCAAGATCCACTCAATGTAGAGAGTCGCTGTGTGGAGTTATATTAGCATAGGAAAGGACAAGCGTTAAGAGTACAGAGCTGAAGCAGACATTAAAAGGAACCGGAAACCGAATCCTAAACAGGAAACAAGGGATAAACTTCTACACGAATAAAACTCAAAAACGGGCCTTTTTTCAAGTTACGTTCAGAAAGGTAAACAAATTAAACACTATACTATATACTATACTATATTTAGAAAAGGTAGTCGAATATAGCGTCTTAAATAAAGATTTTATTCGTAAAATAAACCCGGGTCTGTAAAGCGCGAATGTTCTATTTCTGTCAGGTAATTGACGAATGTTCTATTTCTGTCAGGTAATTCAGGATTTTAGCGGTCTGGGTTGTTTTCAGTAGAAATTCATAGTAAATCCATACCGACCTCTAAAATTGGTTTCTATCGCAGCCAGGGTTACGTATTCTACATATTTCATATTTATGGGTTTCTAGTATGCCAGAAGATCCGAATTTATATCAAGAAATCATTAAGAAGGGTGTTTTTTTTAAGTATTAAAAAAATGTACCTAAACAACGTAGAACGTAGTACGATAGGTACATCCATGGACTTTCTAAAACAAAAAATTAAATAGTTTAAATGTTTACTTTGAACTTAAATGTCGATTTTATTTGAAAGATAATAGTTTGAATTGTAAGAAAAAATAATTTTCGTATATAAATAAGCGTTTCAGATATTTTTAAAACATTGGCATGTTTTTTGCTACCCATTGACACTACTAGCCTCCATTGTATACGAAAAATATAAATAACAAATGAAAAATTCTCTTTAAAATCCAATTTTTGTCCGAGAGATGTGCTTCGAAGGTCATTCGTAAATTCCACATGTAATTCATTGGATTTTCTAAAATAATTGCTTACCTTTTACTTAAAAGAGAATCAATACAACTCTTTATTCAAACACACGTTTAAAAATATATTTATTTAACGAATAGTTTAAGAACATAATTTTCTTTATTCTACATGCTTTTATTAAAATTAGTATAATGAATAAATTTGAAGGCATTAAGACGCTATTTAAACAAAACCAATAGCGTAAATGTAGTTTGCGTCAGATTAAAGTGAAAAAACAAGCAGTTATTCGAAGAATAAATTTTGTAGAAATATATTAAATTATTATTTATACAAATGAAATAGTTTCATCGAAATTCTGAAAATTTTCTTGACGAATACAATCACGTGTCCATCACCAAATCACGTGTCCATCACCAAATCACGTGTCCACTACCAAATCACGGGTCCATCACCAAATCATGTGTCCATCACCAAATCACGTGTCCACTACCAAATCACGGGTCCATCACCAAATCATGTGTCCATCACCAAATCACAGGTCCATCAACAAATCACTTGTCCATTACCAAATCACGTCTTCATCACCAAATCACGGGTCCATCAAAAAATCAAGTGTCCATCACCAAATCACGTGTCCATCAACAAATCACAGGTCCATCACCAAATCATGTGTCCATCACCAAATCACAGGTCCATCACCAAATCACTTGTCCATTACCAAATCACGTCTTCATCACCAAATCACGGGTCCATCAAAAAATCAAGTGTCCATCACCAAATCACGTGTCCATCAACAAATCACAGGTCCATCACCAAATCAGGTGAACATCACCAAATCACAGGTCCATCAACAACTCATGTGTCCACCGCAAAATCACGGGTCCATCAGCAAATCACTTGTCCATTACCAAATTACGGGCCCACCACCAATTCACGTGTCCATCACCAAATCCTTACCTTCTTTGTGGGGTTTCTTGCATTGTTTCTTTACCTGGGCTACTTTCATACTCCCTTGCATTAGAATATAAATTTACTTTGATTTCATCACTCAAAATTTCATTTTTCCCACTTTCTAGCATCTCATGTTAGATCCATTTTGACCATATCCGTCTTCTCTGATGATGTCTTTAGGTTAATGGTGATTATTTGGCTGCTATACACCCGTTCATAGGATTTGTCATAGTACTCTGCGTGGCGCATCAACTGAAACCTCGCTGTTAATACCGCCTCCACTCCTTTGTTTGGGATTGCCTATCTAGACACTTGCAATCTTTCTTTCATCTCTCTTGTCTGAATTTTTTCATTCTTCCGGATTTCATTGCACATTGAACACTTCTAATAGCAGCAAAAATCTTTTGAATGGTTTGAACACTGTTTTTGGGAATTCTAATTTGCCTGGTTATCACTCCATGGGTCATCTTCCCCATCAAAATTACATCCTTCATCTTTGTTTCTGCAGAAATCTAAGCCGTGATTTTGGTGCTACTATTTTATATTTGCAGAGGTATTTGTGACCTACCGGAAATGACGATGCACTCTACCACCAAACAACCCACTTCCGGCCTACAGCAATTAATTCCTCAAACTAGATACAGAGTTATTTTAAACTAAAGAGTGGAGTATATATTTAATTTGTATTCATGTAATTCCGTTATAGAATAAAAAATCTAACGTCAGATAAAATAATTCTAACCCATTTAGTTTTTTACACTAGCACCATGCTGGCCAGAGTCATTTAGAAAATAATCTCATTTCAAGATGAAACGGTGTTATTTTTAAGAGTTAGGCTTTTTAACATATTTCATACTTCCAACAGTTAGTAAATATCATACCATAGTAGAAAATTAATAGTAGATATTATACTATAGTAGAAAATGGACGGTAGATATACTATAGTTGCCCCATGAGTTTAGTGTTAAAACAACTACAATGACTTGCAATGTCATTCTCAGCTCATGTTAATACGTTAGAACAAATCTTACATATTTGCATATTATCATCTCAGACTATTTCAGTGGTCCAATAATTTTGTCTGGCTTTTTTTTTCAGCTCCAAGCTGCTTAAAGCTGCCTGTCTTCTCCTACTTGACATCTATGAAAACGCAACAACTTATTTTCCAATCTTTAAGGTCCATAGCCACTACTAATAAAAGCATTGTGACAAACAATCTTAAATTCTTTAAAAAAAAAGTTGTGTATAATCATTTTATTTAGTCGTCTTAAAACTTTTGAAGCTCACTGTAGTTAGGGTAAAGTGTGACAGGTCTTTCGGTAGGTGATACAAAATCTGGTACGCTAACCCTATATCGGGGTGTTTTTGTCGAGATAACATCTCTAGAAAGACTGCCTTTCAAGGTTAAGGTGTTCTTTCAAGCTATGACATGAATTATCCCGCTCCAGACTCCAACTTGGAATGTGAATTTCCGCGGACTGTCTTAGAGAATCCAACTCGGGATTTCACATCAGGATTAAACACCCGAAGTCTTTCCTATGATTGGTTATGGACGCAAGGCAGCGGATTTTTCCTTCTCTTAAATGAAATACCCTCCCGTGCTGACGTATTTCATTTACTCGGGGTGTATCGATACAAGCATAAACACATATATATTCAACACTGTGGAGCACCTCTTGGCGGTATAATTGTTAGCAAGCTTGTCGCGTTAGAACAATTACGACTGAATAGTGAGTTCGATCCTCACTGGCTGTCCCCTTACTCTCGGCCTTGTGTCACATCCAAGCTACGCTTGGAAAATCACTATATATTTAACACTGTCGGAGTAAACAGTTCACCATCAAATGTACCACTGTTTCATTATATATATTTTAAAATAATAAAAATAAATGATGCAGGACAGTGTAGAAAGGGATTGTCATAGTGTGGTTGAAAGATAATAAAAGTGTTATGTCTCCTCCGTCTTGGATTGTGTTCCCGCTCTTTTTTTGTTTGAATTATTCTCTTTCGGATTTTCTGGTCTGGGCTATTGACCACTGTCTGTTTTTTCCTGAATTTAAGTAGCTGCTTTCGTGTGTTTTGTTTTGTATTTTTTAGTCTTTTTTTATTATATTTTTTATTAGTGCTTTGTTTGGTATTGCTCATATATATATATATATATATATATAAATATATATATATGTATGCACACACACACATATATATATATATATATCTATGATATATATATGCATACACACACACACACACACACACACACACACACACACACACACATATATATATATATATATATATATATATATATATATATATATATATATATATATAATGAAAGCGGCGAATACAAATGAGCCAGCGTGGTCAGGCACGGGCCTATTTACTGAAAATGATCGATCTCTGAAGTGATTGACTTGTCACGAGTGATTGACATACTGATTGATTCCTGTCCATTATAGGAAGTCTTTTAAACCAGTCTCTCTAAGCTGACATTCTTAAAGTAAGTTAGCAGCGTTCTACACAATAGATAAAGCGCCTACATAGACAGACCGTAACATGAGCCATGACATTTGAAGAAACATATACGCACACAAAATACATACATATACAGCACATACACAGAATTACACACACACACACTGAAATACAAACACACTTATATATACTCGTACACAACGCACATACAGTTACAGACAAACACACATTATATATACTATATACACTAGCAGCATGGCTCGGCGTTGCCCGTGCTTGATTCAAAAATCGTACGACTCATACTGCAATCGCTATCACTTGACTTAAAATATTTTTGCCCTTCCTTGCCTTTAAAGGAATGCCCTTTGCCGTGCTGATGTTGCTACATGCCTTACTTCTTGCCTATCTCACACTGCGAATTTTCTCTAAGCTCTATACTAAACATTAAATCTGTTACGAAAAAAGAACTAAACAAAATGAACACAAAACATCAGCTTTAAAAAAAGGACTCGTAACTGGAAAAACCGAATGAAAAAGAATGTTAACAACAAATACCTTTTTCGCACCCAACCCAGTTCTGCGGAATCAGAATCAACGTTGAGTTTAAGCAAGCGAATGAGCCAATTGGTGTAAAGTGCCATGCAGATTTAAATTTTTCCCACTTGTGACGAATGCAGCTACCGATTTTTTTTTGCATGAGAGCATGCTAGTTAACACTCGTGTCAGTAAGCTGTTGGCTCTCACGCTGGCCAAAATTGTGGCCGTGCATTCGTTACAGACACACACACACACACACACACACACACAACCTTTTATTTATATATATATATATATATATATATATATATATATATATATATATATATCCTAGTCGTCTAGCCACACTGATGAGCTGTGATACAGCGAAACAGTCTATCTATGGATGACAACATATATATATATATATATATATATATATATATATATATATCACGGACATAGTGCTGGTGTAAATAAAACAGTGCTCCATAATATAATAGAGCTATTATAATATAATAGATCCTCATAAGTTCCATACACACACAAATAATAAATATATATATATATATATATCCCTATATAATATTCCATATATATATATACACATAATATATATACATATATATATATATATATATATATATATATATATATATATATATATATATATATATATATATATAATATATATATATATATATATATATATATATATATATATATAGACATGTTAGATAAAAAAAACACGAAACTGTTTAATGTTTTTATTTTAAAGCAAACGCACACACACAAAAAACATACAGAGATACAGACACAAAATATACACAAACTCACACATAACATATTCAGAGAAACACACACACACAAATATATACACACATCAAACCTATAGAGATACACACACAACAGACGCAACACGCACACATACACACACACACACACACATATATATATATATATATATATATATATATATTTATATATATATATATATAAAGAGAGAGATTTATATGTGTGTGTGTGTTTGGTTAAGGAAACGACAATTACTTACTCGTGACCACGCCTCGTTATTTACAGTGTCCGTTTCATTGTCTTCATGGCAGTCCACACCCATCTATATAGAATTGGCGAACGAGGTAATAATGTCTGCCGACACAATATTTACATTCGTTATTTTCAGGTGCAAAGCCATTTGCAGCGATTTGCACAGCCTACCGTGGAAACAAGTTAAAGTTAACCGGAACTAAGTGGTATAAGTTGCAACCTGATTCCGCGCGACGCTGTATTTATTCCTCTACCATATCCGGCGAGAGCGCCCTGTCGTGAGTTAATTGTTAACGAGGTAGTCAAACAGATCATGACTTCGGTGACTCTTAACAGGGCGATCAACACTAGTTACTCTGTGCAAGTCTGTTTTAAATGTGTCTTTTGAACGTTAGCGCTGGAGCAACGGGAAACGTGCAAGATTTGCGGGCCATAACCTTTGTATTGTGAGTTAGATCTTCACAAGCTGCCTTGGTAAGATGTTGCATTTACTTTCAATCTGATGCACTTTGAAAAGGCATGAATCAATCTCTTCCTTTCGCCCCAGATATTAAGAGACACCTTTACTTTTTGTTGTTGTAGGATCCACCTAATTTGCATAGTGGAGTACCGACTATATAAATATGGTTGGTACCGGGAAGACGGGGAGAGGAATCAAGAGATTCAATCCAGAGACTCTGCCCGACTGCGACTAAGTCAACACATTCTCCAGGAACGGTCTTCCCAAGAATATACAAAAGACTATATGTAAATATTGTGTACACTTTCTTCTTTCAATACATTTTGTTCTAAGTACATTTTGTGTTGTATTATTATTCCATGCATTAGTCAA